TTTCCGTAACTGGCATTCTTCGAGATGTGTTGCTCATTGCCATTCCACGTCCCACCCTCCTTCCCCTCTGTTGGAGTTGTCTGGCAAGAAGAAACTGAGGGTGGGGGGAGCGTGTAGCGCCCCTTATACCGTGCCATGAAGACGCCACTCCAGGGGTTGCTAGGGGTGCTCCCCTACGGGTACTGCCAGGGAGAAAAACTTCCAGCACCGGTGGACGTGGCGAGCATGCACACCTATTGTGGAATGGACATGAGCAGCACATCTTGAAGAACACCAGTTACAGAAAAGGTAACTGTCCTTTCAGAGCTAGTTACCATCTTGCGTCCTTCATCACATCTAGCCATCCCAATGGCTCCTGTTTAGTCACCTGCGAGGTGATGCCTCAGTGCTTCCACCACCCACCAAACAACATCACATCCTTTCTTGATGGTGGAATATTGGGTCTCTTATGGTAGTGCAGATCCCAACTCGACGGCAGGCTGAAGCACTGGCTTGCAGTACAAACTGTCAATCTAAAAATCTAGGCTGTGTAAAAAAGGGTTGTGTACTTAATATTTCCTTTTTCTTACTGAATACCTTTTCACAATGCTCAGTCCACATAACCCATTTGAGTGCCAACTGTTTTATCAGGTCAGCCAGTGGGACAGTTATTCTAGTGAAATGAAGCACAACCCCCAGTAGTAACCCTCTAATCTCTAGTCTAAAGGATCATGTGTGGGGGCGGGGGGGGGGGATGGAAACAGGCCACTCTTTAAATGCTTTTTCCTTGTCTATCAGGGTGTGAACGTGACCATTTCCTACTGGATAGTATTTGGTGTCTTTGTTCTCTAATTTATACTTCTCCGGATTTGCTGTAAGACCAGCCTCCCTTAGAAGGAGGTCCATCTGCTGAGAGGAAGACTAGAAAAGGGGAAGGAACTCTGGGTTCATAGAATCATAGAATATCAGGGTTGGGAGGGACCTCAGGAGGTCATCTAGTCCAACACCCTGCTCAAAAGCAGGACCAATCCCCAATTAAATCATCCCAGCCAGGGCTTTGTCAAGCCTGACCTTAAAAACTTCTAAGGAAGGAGATTCCACCACCTCCCTAGGCAACGCATTCCAGTGTTTCACCACCCTCGTAGTGAAAAAGTTTTTCCTAATATCCAACCTAAACCTCCCCCACTGCAACTTGAGACCATTACTCCTTGTCCCGTCCTCTTCTACCACTGAGAATAGTCTAGAACCATCCTCTCTGGAACCACCTCTCAGGTAATTGAAAGCAGCTATCAAATCCCCCCTCATTCTTCTCTTCTGCAGACTAAACAATCCCAGTTCCCTCAGCCTCTCCTCATAAGTCATGTGTTCCAGACCCCTAATCATTTTTGTTGCCCTTCGCTGGACTCTCTCCAATTTATCCACATCCTTCTTGTAGTGTGGGGCCCAAAACTGGACACAGTACTCCAGATGAGGCCTCACCAATTTCGAATAGAGGGGGATGATCACGTCCCTCGATCTGCTCGCTATGCCCCTACTTATACATCCCAAAATGCCGTTGGCCTTCTTGGCAACAAGGGCACACTGCTGACTCATATCCAGCTTCTCGTCCACTGTCACCCCTAGGTCCTTTTCCGCAGAACTGCTGCCTAGCCATTCGGTCCCTAGTCTGTAGCTGTGCATTGGGTTCTTCCGTCCTAAGTGCAGGACCCTGCACTTATCCTTATTGAACCTCATCAGATTTCTTTTGGCCCAATCCTCCAATTTGTCTAGGTCCCTCTGTATCCTATCCCTGCCCTCCAGCGTATCTATCACTCCTCCCAGTTTAGTATCATCCGCAAATTTGCTGAGAGTGCAATCCACACCATCCTCCAGATCATTTATGAAGATACTGAACAAAACCAGCCCCAGGACCGATCCCTGGGGCACTCCACTTGACACCGGCTGCCAACTAGACATGGAGCCGTTGATCACTACCCGTTGAGCCCGACAATCTAGCCAACTTTCTACCCACCTTATAGTGCATTCATCCAGCCCATACTTCTTTAACTTGCTGATAAGAATACTGTGGGAGACTGTGTCAAAAGCTTTGCTAAAGTCAAGAAACAATACATCCACTGCTTTCCCTTCATCCACAGAACCAGTAATCTCATCATAGAAGGTGATTAGATTAGTCAGGCATGACCTTCCCTTGGTGAATCCATGCTGACTGTTCCTGATCACTTTCCTCTCATGTAAGTGCTTCAGGACTGATTCTTTGAGGACCTGCTCCATGATTTTTCCAGGGACTGAAGTGAGGCTGACTGGCCTGTAGTTCCCAGAATCCTCCTTCTTCCCTTTTTTAAAGATTGGCACTACATTAGCCTTTTTCCAGTCATCCAGGACTTCCCCCGTTCGCCACGAGTTTTCAAAGATAATGGCCAATGGCTCTGCAATCACAGCCGCCAGTTCCTTTAGCACTCTCGGATGCAACTCGTCCGGCCCCATGGACTTGTGCACGTCCAGCTTTTCTAAATAGTCCCTAACCACCTCTTTCTCCACAGAGGGCTGGCCATCTATTCCCCATGTTGTTCACTTGTAATAGAGCCAAGAAAAGAGTCTGTCAGAGACTTTGGAAGAAATCTTAAGACTCTTTTAGGACTAAAGAAACAGCCAGACAGCTGAGCAAAATATCCCAAGAAAAGGATTCACTTGTCTAGAGACCCAGACAGCCAAGTCCTGAGAAGAAAGCTAACAAGCTGCAGCAGAGCAAAAGAAAGTAGCCTCAGGGAAAGAAAGAAATACAGAAACAAGGAGTGTTTGTGGTCAAGACAGGGGCCCAAGGGTGCAGCTCATGGAAGATGTAAGGTGGCAGCTCCTCTCGGGCTATGTCTACACTGTAAGCGTTACAGAGGCACAGCTGCACCAGTGCAGCTGTTCTGTTGTTGTGTAGACATATGCCTCAGCACGAGAAGGGGGTTTTCTGTCACTGCAGTAAATCTACCCCCTTGAGAGGCACTCAGTAGGTCAACGAAAGCAGTGTCTATACTGGGTCTTAGGTCGGTGTAACTGGGTCTCTCAGGCATGAATTTTTCACACCAATGAGAGCGTAGCTTGGTCAAGCTACATTTAGATGCAGGCCTTAGACTAAGGGACCACCAGGAGTATTGAAGTTACACCCTGAAGAAGGGAGAAGAGCTGAAATGATTTGCTTTTATTTGGGCTTTCGTTACTTTGACCGGTTGTTACCCTGGAAAGAGTGGCATTTTCAGCGCAGCTGGAGACATAAACTGAGGAGACTGCTGCATTCCTAGCACTAGAAGGTAAGGTTCTCCCTCAGAGCTAAGCCTTCAGTATCCGCAGAATCTAAGTTTTCCTTTTAAAAACAATTTTTATTAAGAACATAATTTTTGCAATGGAACATTCTTTTTCTACATTTTGGTAGCTGTTGCAACAGCAAGACAGGACTGTCAGAACAAACAGCCCCCTTCCTTCATGAGGCATATTGTCTGTTTCATCAGGACCACATGGTTCTTTGTACTCCTTGGTATTTTCTGAGCAAGGTCAGTTCTTCTTTCCACGCATCTCAAGAAACAATCCTATCATCCAGAGCACAAACAGGAAAAGTTGTGGCTCACTCTAGACATGCTCAGAGCATTAAAATTCCACCTCAAGCAGACTGAGCAGTCAGGAAATCGTATTCCTGGTTCATTGCATTTCACACACAATGCAGAGGGGACAATGATAGTAACATGGAAAAGGGGGTGCATAAGTTCCCTTTATAACGCTTCAGATCAACTATTCCCTGAGGTTATTACAGTCTAGATCAGTGTCTGCTCGACATGGCGGCTAGATCACTAGACATCTCTGGAAGATATTTGTAAAGTGACAACATAATCATCACTGCCCACATACCATATGAAAAGCTAGACGTCCAGTCTCCCAGAGAAGCATTTTTTGGAAGGAAGGTACTTCAGGGGATGGTCCCCAGATAGGTTCTAGTCTGTTCAAAGTGGTGAATTGAATTGCACACAATGTCCTTTCCCTTCCTTGGATTCTGATGCCACTCACTACTTCCCAATACTGTGGACAAGCGGAGAAAGGAAGATTTCTTACCAGATCATTTGCTTTCTGTAAGTAATGTCTTCATTCGTCTGACCCAACCAGTTTTATTAAGTGACAGAAGTTGGGTGTGGATTTATCTACCAAGCTAGTTGTCCAAGAATTCAGTTAATTGCCTATAAAGAAGTTTTATTAAGTTAGATTTTTTTTTCACGTACTGTCATACGGCTTTGGAAGGACACCCCTGGGCAGCACACGGAACTGGTGTAGCTGACAGAAAATGTTACTAAGCACCAGCTTGAGTTGCTCCCCAATAATCCTTTGCAGAACAGAAAAAACCCCATTGTGCAGACTTGCAGAGATGTTACTGAAAGAAAATAATCAGGGAAAACATTTGCTATACCCTCCTTCTCCTTTGTCCCTCCAGTCTCTGTCCCCTCCCCTTTTCACTGCTTTTGCCCCTTCTCCCTTTCCCCAATTTCTTTCTGTTCAACTTCCCTTTCTCCCTCCCAGTCTGTATTCTTCTTTATTCCATCCCTTTCTACCATCCCTCAGGAAACCCCATTCCATAAAATCCCTCTTCCTTATATCTGCCCCACCTCCTAGGATCTCCCTTAGTTGGGATTTCAGCCCAATACCTTTATTTCTCTTAATTTATTTGGTGTAGTTATTTCCAGGTTTGATTTAGCCATTGTATATGAAAAATATTAAATTCTGTTTACATGTTTAAAAGTATATATTAGCTTGTACTGGAGGGAGGAGTATGATTCGAGGTTAGGGTGACCCTGATTCTGAACTGAGCCCAAGCTGAGCAGGGCATAGTTTAGGTTGGTGGTTTCTCAACCTTTCCAGACTACTGCATCCCTTTCAGGAGTCTGATTTGTCTTGCATACCCCAAGTTTCACCACATTTAAAAATTACTTGCTTACAAAATCAGACATAAAAATACAAAAGTGTCACATCACATTATTACTGAATTGGAATACAAATATTGTACTTACATTTCAGTGCAGAGTATATGGAGCAATATAAATAAGTCATTGTCTTGATGAAATGTTAGTTTGTACGGACTTTGCTAGTGCTTGTTATGTAGCTTGTTGTAAAACTAGGCAACTATCTAGCTGGGTTGATGTACACCCTGGAAGACCTCTGTGTACCAGCAGTGGTCTACATACCCCTGGTTGAGAACCACTGAGTTAGGTCATAGGATGAAGCAAGGTGGCTTTGTGTCCTCTCAGATTCTTGGCTGTGCTCCCACACTTCTAGTAGTTTCATACCTCACATTAGGGTGACCAGATAGCAAGTGTGAAAAATCGGGACAGTGTGTTGGGGGTAATAGGTGCCTATATATGAAAAAGAACTAAATATTGGGACTATCCCTATAAAATCGGGACATCTGGTCACCCTACCTCACATGCATTTTCCACCAGTGGGCTGCTTCCAGCAAGAAGCCTAGAAGTGCAAACTGTAAATAACAGCATCACAAAGACAAACATCTCTTTTCTGTCATAGTGAGAAGGTAGTAATGGAGCTTTCTAGGGTGTGTATTGGAAATTCCCCTGCCCAGGGATCAGGCCTTGCACTGCGGAAGAATGTGTAAGCAGAGTGATGAGCTCTACCCTGACATCTGGTGGTGAGTCATGGTGGGTTATGGAAAAGAACTTCAGGGGCTGATCTCATTTGCATAGGCACACCCACCCCCCAGATTGTCACTTTGGCAGCTGCAGGAGCCCCAGTTTCTCTGTTATTGGGGCAGGAAGAATAAACTGTTATTATCCTGATTATGTGAATAGTGGAACTGTACTTGGCCTTTTGTTATGATGGAGGGACTCACCATCAACTAAGCAGTACTCGCTAGGCAAGGGTCATGGGTTCCAAAACCTAGTGAAATGAGAGAGTCTGGGGGTTGGTATTAATATCTGGTGGTGTGGGCTGTACATGCTAATTGTACTGTCTCCTCTCTCTACAGGTGAATATCAGAGCCAGTTTTGATTCCATTAGGAGTCTAGTTATAGGCTGCTGAGCTGAATTGACTTTGGGCCAATGGTGTACGATCACTGAGGCTCCCCTCCTACAAGCTAAAATTACGAAGAGCTGAAATCACTGAGTTGTGTTAAGTAGTGGGTGGGGGCTGAAGATATATCATGGAGCACTTTGTGGGATGGTGGGAGTGGCTCACGGGATGATGAGCAGAGCAATTTGTGGCTGGTGGAGCGGAGCCCCACAGAGAGGTAACCCCCCCCCCCATTTCCACCCAGGTTGGGAGGTAAAACTCTGCAGATAAACTTTTGAATTCTGGGGCTGCCATGACCAGGGACAGGGGCTTTTGGGTTGTTGGACTTTTGGGATTTTGGGTGACTTTTGGGTTGCTGGACTCAAGAACTAAAGGGAAAGGACACGGCCCAATTTGCTTAGGGTGGGTTTTGGCTCATGGATTGTTATGAATCCTGTTGGTGGTGTTTCCCCAACATAATGCCACATTGTTTCTCTCTGTTATTAAAAGGGTTTTGTCACACTCAGACTATGTGCTTGCGAGAGGGGAAGTATTGCCTCATAGAGGCGCTCAGCGTTGGTGGTATATATTTGTCCCAGGTCACTGGGTGGGGGCTCGAGCCGGTTTTGCATTGTGTTATTGGAATGGAACCCCTAGATACTGAACCCGGCCCTTGTTGCTGCCAACTGTGATGGGCAGAAGGGTTACAAATATAAAAGATGGACATAATGATATATATCACTGCAGATTGTAGAGTAACCAGCTGTGTGCCTTGTATACTTATTCACGCTGTGCATTGTACAGCATTCCTCCCTGATTGGGCTATTTTGTGGAAATAAGACTACAAAACCAGTGACAGGCAGGGCTGCACTGGCAAAGGGTCAGGGCATGGGGGAGACGGCTTTCCCTGTGCACGGTGAGAAGCTGTATTTCTTTGCCACAGTAAAGTTATACACACCAGCACCTCACTCTCTTTTGGCTTCACCATACTCTGCAGGTCATTTCGTTGCTGACATTGCACAATCCAGGCAGACCTTCTCTGCTAAATAACACGTTTTACGAGGACACCTGGGTGTGGGTGTGGGGAGGGGGGGTTATGTCTGGTGGGGTGGGGGGAAGGGAATGAGGGGTGCAAGGGAAGGGATAAGGCCAGGTGGGGGTCCAGGGAATATGTGTTGCCGGGGCAGGAGCTTTGGGTGGCGCGGGGGAGGGCAGGAGCAGCGGGAGGTTTGGCTTCTCCGGGGCGGGGGCGACTGCTGTGTCTGCGGGAAGCGGGTCTGGTCACCGGCTCTGCCTTCCGCCCCCCCCAGCCAGAGAGAAAGAGAGGCGGGGGAGCGGACGCCTTGCGGAGAAATGAAAGTGAAACTGGCCCTGCAAGACGGGGACTCGCCCAGGCCACACAGCAGGAGCTGGTCATGGCCGGGGAGGCGACGTGCCCCTTCCCGCTGCTGGTGGAGGGGGCCTGGGGGGGCTCGGGGCTCCCCAAGAACCTAAAGAAAAAACTCCTCTGCTACTTCCAGAGCGGGAAGAAATCCGGAGGGGGGGAGTGCGAGATCCAGGAGCGGCCCGGCCAGGTCCTGGTTTGCTTCGCCCAGGAGGAAGGTAAGGCGTGGGGGGGGGCACGGCTCGCTTTGCTTTGTATGTAATGTGGGCAACAAATGTGTGCTCGGAATGTGTGTGTCCGCTCCCTGCAGGAGTCCGGGTGAGTGAGGGGCCCACGGGCCGCAGGGCAAGGCTGTGTGGGTGGGTCGGGTCCTCTCCCTCGCCCCAGGGAATCTCTCTCCAATTTGGCCCCGTCCAGGTTTGATCTGACCGAACTAGTCAGGGGCAGGGGCACCATTTCAGTGGGGGGCAGCTTTCCGCGGGGGTCTCAGGCCCACTTAGGCCCCTGCAAGCTCTTGGAGTTTTGTTTTGTTTTTGAAGGATACAATGTGAAAATCTGCCTATTTTTTGAGCATATGTTGTGCGGATTTCCTGTATTTTTTAATAACAATTTACATAGGCTTCTTCAGGAAAACCTGTCACAACTTTCCAGTACTGGAAATGTTTCTCGTTCTAGCTCTGTACTTTGTCAACTTCTCTGGTGAACTTTACCAATGCACAGAAAGCTCCTGTCCTATGTAATGGCCTCATATAACCATCCTGACAATTGTAGTTTATATCTGGCAGCCCCTCATGGACATAATCTCATCAGTTCTTGGAGGCCTTGATTCAGGAAAATCTTCAACTTTTAAGCATGTGCTTGAGGCCTGTTGACTTCATTGGGGTTTAAGAACATGCTTAAGCTCCCATCCGAAATGGGCAAATAATCTCCATGCCTGTACATTTTCTTTCGAACCGTGAGTCAGGTGATGTCTATACTGCAGTGAAATATGCTTGGCTGGCCTGTGTCAGCTGACTCAGGTTTGTGGGGCTTAGGTTGCAGGGCAAAAAACTGCAGTGTAAAGATCCAGGCTCCGGCTCTGGTAACCAGCCTGTCTGCGTCACATTAATCTCATCTTGCCGTTTCACTGAGAGATGGGAATCTGTGCCACTTAGTCCTCTATGCTGTTCACATCACATCTGGTTGTGTTAGAACTCACAAGCTGGACAGCACTGGGCTTTATCAGTATTTGGATGAAAGACCTCCATCTGGGAAAGCCGTGTGACTTGGGAAGCAGTGTTGGATGTTCTTCCTCGATAAGTGGCATTCAGAGGTTGTTATATGCCGGTATTTCTGCATAGTAGCTAGGGGTCCAGTGCTGTTAGAGATGCTGGGTATGGCCTTGCACTCTGTGTAGTTACATATGCCTGTGCAAAATGGGTGTATAACTTTACCACTTTGTACTGACTTTGCACAGTAGCACGCAGAATGAAAGACAGTAGGGAACCAGCCCTGCTGTCCTTCAGATGGGATATAAAAATGAGGTAATGACTTCTTGAGACCATTAAAGATTCCTTGGCATTTTTGCTAGAGTTAGGGGAATGTTGCAGCCTTGTGGTCCCAGGCAAATGCCTCAGTGTAATTGCCTTCTCTTTAACTTAAATTTGCCTTGTTGATTCATTAAATAGGATAGTCTCCTCCTCTGTTCCTAAAGGGATATGATCAGCTTGAAATCTAGTGATTTTAAAAAAACAAACAAACGATAAAAACAGGTTACAAGTAGTTTCGGATATTACACGTACTTTTGAGTCCCCATGCCAATTTTTGGCTTTTGCAAATTTTTACATTTAAAAAATGTTTTCTTCTATTGCTGAAATACTTACAGAAATCAGGGAAACAGAGAAAATTACTATATACAAGGTGCTGCCAAGTACACAATTTAAGCATACTTATAAAAAGAGAACTCTTTTTTCTTTTTGTAATCCTAAGTGTTGTATCAATAGGTAAAAATAAATTCAGATGGAGGTATTATTTTGAAGTCAGCAAACTGTTATTTAGTGTTGCTCTGTACTGTTAAACAGTTCCTGCATGCCACCCAGAAGTGGCTGCATTTCAGGGCTGGGTGAAATGTTTCTTCCATATATACAACAGTTTACCAAGGGCTAGATGGAGCCTTTGTTCCTGCTCTGAGTAAGGGGCAGTGTGCAAGTGCTTTGCCCCAGAAGGAACCTTGGGAAGGAATTTGTGACTTGGTGAATGGAGTAATTAAATTATTGCAGCCTTTTACAGGGTGCAGGTTACTTCCTGCTTGTGTCAGCCCAGCTCTGTTGGTCATTATATTAGGGGGTGGGGCCTTGGAGCTGGTTCAGTCCCCACCCCCTGCCTTTCTCTACCATTCCCTATGCACATGCTCCTGTTTGAGGGCTGGGGCAGGGAGTATTGGTCCCACAGAGCCAGCTCTCACAGCATCGATCTCACGATGATCCGGCCAGGCTGCACAGAGGTGTGGAAATAAACCTTACTCCCCTGCGTGGCCACGTTAGGGGCACTGACAGCCTGCCCCAAGTTCTGTAAAGCACTGGGGGTGAAAGTGCTATATTGATGTAATATCTTATTATTTATTACAAGCTTCTTCTCTTTAGAACATATTCCTGTAAACGATCGACTCATAGCTCCTGAATGGAAAAGTGGGTGTCGTCTATATGTCCATGTTCCCCATCCCACACGTGTTAGATTCAGTAGATCTCAGACCTCCCGATACAAGTAATTCCTTTTTTCTTTTTGTAATTTTTAAGTTGATTAAGGCCGTTCATTTGTCCCTACCACAAATCTGCCAAATATATATCTTTGACTCTGAGCAAGCCTTAAAAACAAAAACCAACAAAAAAACAAAATATCCACTAGATGGAGCCACTGGTTCAAAAACGGTGTACAAGAAAGTAAACATATTCAGGTTTCATAGTGCAATCAGTATCTGGTATAGAGGATAGATTAATCCTCTGGTATGTCTGGATTGACATCATGACATTTATGTTGGTATGCACAATGGAAAGTCTCTGTGACAGGTAGTCAGGGGTGCTGGAACAATTTGTGTAGTGGGGGTGCTGAGAGCCATTGAACCAAACTGTAAACCCTGTATTTGATGGAAACCACTTCAGACCAGCACCCCCAGCACCTCTAGTTCCAGCACCTACGCAAGTAATCCCATTAGTATTAGGGTAGTGCCCTGACACACCAGTGAGATTGAGGCCCTATTGTGTTGGGTTCTCTGCAGATGTGTGATAAGAGACAGTCGCTACACTGAAGAGCTTAAAGTTTTAGGCCCCATTCCTGCAAACATTTAGGCACTCACTTAATGAGGTAGCCAATAGGACTACTCACATACATCTAGTTGAGAACTTAGATAAGTGTTTGCGTAACTGGGGCCTATGATCAATGTTCTTTAGTGCAGGGACTGTCTCTTACTATGTGTTTTTACAGCACCCAGTGCATTAGGACCCCAATCTGACTGGTTTTGCTGAGCACTACCAAATACAAAGAGTGACGAGGGTAATATACCTAATAAATAATAATGTGTTTATATATTTTTGCTCTTCTCATGACTCTTCTACAAATGAACAAAGCTAGTATTTATGTAAAGCTAATATTCTCTGTATGCTGCCCCACCTGTGACTTTCTACAGCTCTTAAGATCAAGGGATGCTGATCAAAATTGCAGAACTGGAAAGGTAAATTTACCAGAGAAAGATTTCGTGAGATTGAGAGAGCCTTGAAATGAGCTTGTGCTCCCGTTGGGCCAAACAAGGGATGCCATGGTCTGACTGAGCAAATTTCAGTATGTGTTGCATTCGTGCCATGAGTCTAAAAATATGTTCATGTTGGTTATATTTTACCTTGTTCAGTGTGGAGGAGGATGTCACCTAGTATTAGGATATAAGAGTGCCACATAGACCTACATACAGACCATCCTTTCTACCAAGGTTATAAGTTTTCTTTGTTTATATTTTAGTGAGGCAACGAGTTCTTGAGAAAAGGACCCATGAGCTCGATTTGCCAGAGACAGGAGGATTAAAACTTGTTGTCACATGGCCTGAAACAACAGGTGCAATCGAAGAGGCCGTGTTTCAGGAAGAGTTGGATCCCAAACAGGTAAATAAATA